TTGCTCTCTGTTTAGACAGGCTTTAAGACCCACTGGATTTGCTTGGGGGCCAGGCCACAGTGTGCAGTAACAGATTACTTGCAGGCAGACAAGTATTTATTCTGGCTGCATTACCCAGATTGATTTATTAAAGCTCCAAGTCACATTCTTACACTAAGCAAAACATTCAGTAAACATGAAACAGGTCTAGGAAAAATAAATAAAAGGAGCCTGTCTTACATATACACACAAATACACGTATATAAGTTCATATGTAAGCTTTTATGAATGTCCTGCAAAGTCCTATGTTCTTTCTTCCCCATTATTTGGAGAAGAGCAGAATACATGACTGTTCTATAAACAGGAATATTCTGGCACACTGGTCCATGATTCCATACGACTGTATCTTAAAGAGATGGTCTCCTAAATGCTACCGATGGCGGGCAAATCAAGAGGAACCAGGATGGAAGCTCTAAAATGGCAAACAAAGGCATGCTTTCCTATGTTTCTCAAAGCTTGAAAAGGTTGACAATTACCAATACATACGCAGAGAAATGAGGAGAGAGAACACGACCTTCACATCTTCAGCAGTGACTCCTCAGTCCAGCTCACTTGCCCCACTCCTAGACTTCATTTCTGAGCTTATCATTCTGGAAATTCCCTGTTAAAATCTCACTTAAAAATTGTCCTAGAAATGTGCATTTTTTTGAAGTGGACACTGGGACATTACTGGCCTGGCCTGATAACTGGAGACCTAGGGTCCAGGCCCAGCATCCAAAAATTCACCCGGAGCCATGTTTTTGACCACCTGAGCCTCAGTTTACTCATTCATAAGTCAGGACTAATACTCTTTCCTACTTTGCCATAACACCGCTAGAATAATTGAAATAGCAAATAGAAAATATTTTAAGTACCCTCAAGAGAAGGAAAATTAAGGAATTAAGAATCCATGGGAAAAGAAAAAACCTAACTAAGAAATACTGGGTGCTTACTCTCCTATCTGAAGGAGGACTCAGCCATTTTTTTAAATTCCCAGAGCACCTCAAAAAGTAATCAGTATTTCCCTGCAAGCTGCAAGCTGCTGTGGAGACTAACCATCCCCTCCTTCATGACAGTGTTTTTAGCACCTCATTGACTAGAGCACAGGGGACATGGGGGGCACAAGGTGCCTGATAGGGGCGCCTGGGGGGCTCAGTCGGTTGAGCATCCAACTTTGGCTCAGGTCATGATCTCACAGTTTGTGAGTCTGAGCCCCATGTAGGGCTCACTGCTGTCAGTCTGTCAGCACAGAGCCCGCTTCAGATCGTCTGTCTCCTTCTCTCTCTGTCCCTCTCCTGCTCACACTCCCTCTCTCTCTCAAATAAATAAATAAATAAATAAATAAATAAATAAATAAATAAAATATTTAAGAAAGAAAGAAAGAAAGAGAGAGAGAGAGAAAGAGAGAAAGAGAGAAAGGAAGGAAGGAAGGGGTGCCTGATGTCCACAGGAAGAGAACAAAGTCCTACTTCAGTTCACTTCTTTGTGGATCTGATCTATGGAATCATCTTGGACATCTGTTTGTGTCTTTGGATAAGCAAAGGGGACAATGGGAGATCAGCAGTGCTGAACATGAAGTCCAAAACATGCAAACCAAGACATGCATTTCTAATGTCAATAACTATTCTGCTCCCTCTATGTGCCCTACTATAGTGCCGTGATTCTCAAAGATGTCTAGCGCCACTGAGACATGAAGTTCCTGGTTCAGGGGATGATGGAAACTTCCTCTTGACTCTAGCTGCGGTGCTGTGGGGCTGCCTGTGAAACACACACGCACGTGACATGCACTTTTCCTACTGTGACGATTTGCTCCAGGGTAGAAATGAACAGAAGAATATCAGGAAAGAAGGAATTTCATCTATCCTCCTAGCATTTGCAGCTAAAACCCTCCCGAACACACAGGAAGACAGGACTATAATTAATTCCTTAACATTAAATTAGCTTTATGAAAGTGTGAAGAGACCACAAAGGGAAAGCCAGACCTAGGGATGCCTAGAAGTCAGCTCTCCAAATAGCTTCTATAAGACAGAGGAGCAGAAGACAGACAGAACTCCACCTTGTGTTATTTCACGTACTTGTCAGTGAAAATCAGATCTCACCACAATTCCATGACAAAATAAACAGCTGCGAGGGGGAGCTTTTGAATGCCTGCTGTCCATCACCCCTGACATCTCTCCAAAGAAACCAAGGCGCTGAATTCCTGCCCAGCGCTTTCCTACCTAAAAGACTGCATTTTGAGCCCAGACTCAAGTCTTCTGTTCTGTGGAAGGATGTTTCTTTTTAATCAGACTTCTGTGTTAACTTCCTGCTCACTGAGAGATCTCAGCCTAGGACAGGCTGCTGCCTGATACCCTGATAGCCCACCCAAGACAAAGTGCAATTACAGAGGGTTACAGGATCTGAAAGGCAATCAGAAGGGGAAGGGAGAGGAAGGAGCCATACTTGGAAGGAAGGAGGGGAGGGAGAGGGGGGAGGAAAGCAGGCAAAACTCTAGCAGGATAGATACAGTTTGCTACGCTGTTTTCCAGATTCTGAGAGGGGCTTTAACCTTTCTCTCTGTGCCCCAGCTGCCTAACCTCAGTGCTTCTTCTCCTTTCTGTTGGGCTGCCCGCTTCTCTTAAGCAAACAAGGGAAATCACGGAGCATGTTCCACATGGCACATGCCTTCACTCCCATTAACCTTAAAATTTGTTTTTAAATGGCAGAAGAGTGCAATCAGCATGAAGTATGATGGGAGCTCTTAAACCCAGGGCAATTTAAATGCAGAAGAAAAAGTCCCTAGCTCTGTAAAAGGAGCGCACATGGTTATGTGATTTTAATTGCATCATTAGAGTGGATCCCCTGGACCAACATCCTAAGGTAAAGACAGTACTTAAAATGGGGAAATGCACATAGTGCACTTTTCAAAGGGGCGACACGCACATCTATGAGGTACACCATATAGAAGCATCACGTGTAGGCGAGTTCCGAATAGCACACTCACTACCCCACATTAGAAGACAGGGTATTCCTTCTGAGAACAAACACTGTCCAGCATCAATCGGTCCCTTCACTGGCTATCAACGGGTAATGGGTGTGTATGGTGATTCCAGATCCAAAAATGTTTAAATCTCCTGCAATATCTTATTTAACAGTTAATTTATTATTTTAGTGTGCCATGTGCAATGACAATATTCGTGTATACGTAATCAAGGACCTTTCTGTACAGTAAGCTGTAAAATACGCGTTCACGCTGAAGCTGGAAACGGGGGTGGACTTTTTCTTCCATGAACAAACCACGCAGAGAATTCCCTGTGCTATCTGCCAGGGATATGTGGCCCTGTTTGTCCCTGATTTCCCAATTCCCGGAGCAAGTAAACCTATAATCCCATCTTCACCGGAGGTCAGGACCTTGGTGCGGCACCGACTGACCAGTGTGTACCCTGGGCCTCACAGACATTTCTAGGCAAGATGCGCCAGGACCCCGAGCCCTTCCAACATGTCAACTATCCGCACCACCCCCCAACCCTCACCGTACTCTGGATCTTCCCACCTCAGTTCCTGCCAATTGCCAAACATATTTAGATAATTGTGTGGGGGTTCTAGAACTTTTACTTATGCACGTAGTCAAAATATACTCAAGGCTCTGACACGAACTGCTGTTAGAACACTACCGGAACACTTGACGCAGAGCCCCACGCCCATCATTCTTTGGAGACCTTGTAACTAGCTGATCACACACTTTCAATGACACTGGTCAGAGAACAGTGAGGAAGCTGGAAGTCATACAAATGATATGAATAGCAACCAGGAAGATACAGAACATTTCACTACTGGGTCAAACTGGATTAATATGTTGCTTTATTTAGGTTCCCTGGGAAACAGAAAACCACACAGCCTTTAGACCTCATGGCTTGCACTATAATGGATTCCACTCTCCTTGGGGAGAGGCACCTGACTTCTTCCACCACAAACCAAAACTGCTTCCGATACAGCAGCAGTGATAGGAGGTGAAAAACAAATAGTCCTTAATCAAAGCAACCTTTAAATGAGGCCACAGGAGGAAACTTTGAGAACCAGGCCTGTGTCTACAAAACTCAATGTGCAGCAGGGCTGAGCATAGAGCCCAGCACATGTCTAGCTGTAAATAAATCTTTATCGAAATGAAATCTTATAAAGACATTCTATTACTAAGCGTTTCTCACCAACCCCATATAGGGCGTGACCATAATATAATAGGCTTGTTTTTGGAAGCTACAAAAACAACCACACTCAACAAGGAGCCTCCTTCAAAGTGACCCTGTGAAGGCTAGAATCCGATCCAAACACCACCCGTCTCCAGCCTACATGCAGGGCTTCTTGAGGAAATCCCTCAGAATTTGTGGGTGAATGATATACTAACTGTATCTTTAATAAAGAACTTCTTGCTGTATATATTTCTCACTTTATAATCATACCTCTTTTTAAAAAGCTAAGCTAAAATGACACGATGATATCTTTGAATTTTGCTTTGAATGACTTACACCTATTATTTCAAATCAAATCGAGCATGCAAAGCAAAGGCTCCCTACTACTACTATTATTCATATGAATATACATACGCAATTCCAGAACTCCAGATGCAGTTTGGGCAATCTGACCTTACCTTGGAGTAAGTTTTGAGCCTCCCACATGAGCAACCCCTGAGTGAGCATCAAACTCTGAAAATTCTTGGTGCCTGGTAATCAATCCCAACAGTTTATTGTCATATTTCATATAAGACCCAAGGGAGAATTTTTTAGTAGTTTTCCATTCTAGCACCAGATCGTTTTAATATGAATTTGGCTGAATGTCTTCATTTCTCTGAAGCTAAGAGTAAGGAGAATCTGCTTTTAATATTTCTGAAAATAACTTAAGAAAACCTCTTTTGTAAAATGGATTCAACCTTAGTATCTTGGCTTAGAATACATCAATTTAATGAAACGTCATCATGAAGTGCTTCTAACAAAGAGTTAAATACTTACGCCATGATACCTGAGAGGTGAAACATTTCGGCTGTTATATAGGACAAATAGCTGTACAGGAAGACAAAGAGTGGCTCAATCACTCGGATGTTATGCGTGAACCGAGTAGTAAATGCCGCTATAAATCCCAGGAAGATGCCAATCAACACCCCACCAATTCCCACAACAAAGAAGTTTGCAATTCCAGCAAACACGTCAATGGTCTCAATGGTTTTCATCTGGCAAAAAGACTTGAACAAGTTGTACAGGACCTGTGGGAGAAAGAGAGCACATGGTCAAGACCCCTTCCAATTTCCCCGTTTTACCTGTGGCCACAGAAAAATCCACCTGGCCTTCCAACAAGGACGGACATTCCTTCTGTGTACCCAACCTGATGACCAGCGGCAATAAGTGTATTTCTCGATCTCATGTTTCAATATTATGTTGAATAGCTTTGAACAGAAAGCCATGTAAAAGGGTGTGGTCAGGCAAGTTATTTCTAAAAGCAAGGGAGAGGAGACTTCACAATTATGATGTGACTTGCTCCTAACGTGCTATTTTTTAAGATACCATCTAAAAGATAATTTTACAAGACCTGGTTGCCATCCAAGAGGTCCTGCTTGTATTACTGATGCTGGGGAAGTAGTAGGCCACAGAGAAAGCTTGTCAGTGTTGCTGTGAGTTTAGTCACTTTGTGAGGCTCTCTTGCGAGGTCTCTTGCCGGAAGGGGTCCCATCCGGCAGTCCAGGTAAGCCACCTGAAGTGATCTCCCTTCCCAGGGCACTGAGGTCCTGCCTTCTGCCCCCTCCCCCTCCGCACGTCTGCTAGAACATAAGACCCAAAGGAACTTTCTCAAAGTCAAGAGGCAGTCCAAGGTCTTAGGTTAATTAAGCTTCAAAAATGCCAGGCACTTCACGTCCGCTAGGGAATATGCTTGCAAACATGTTTCTAAGGGCCCCTGGATCAAATGAAACCGGAAGTGATGGCTTATACCCTACCACATTTTTCACAAAGCCAGCAAGTAAACTATTCCAGCAGGTGCCCTGCTTCTTTTCATGGCATTATTTACAGCCAGAATCTCCAGGGAAGTTGGCTGTCAGGGCATTGGGATGAAGGCCTTTTACAGTACAGGCCGTGCTACACCCTTATTTAGTTTCTGAGAAGCTAAAATTGAACCCATTTGTCCATGGCCACACAAAATGTCACAGGCAATACGAGAATTCAGATCTCCTGACCTTCCTGGTTAAGTTTTTCAAGGTTCCACCATGGGAGAATGAGTCAGGTTCTGACCCAGCAAACTGGAGTGTGATCTGGAAAAAGTCTATTCGACTCTTCATCTCACTTAAGGTCCTTTTTTTAGGACAGGTTTTGTGAAATTTTTTCCCTCTTTTCCACTGGATCATAAACTCCTTGTGGTCAAGACTCATTCCTTATTATCATTTGCTTCTTCCGTGCTGCCTGGAATATGACAATAAATGTCTGCTGGCTTTGAAGAAAGCAGCGAATTACTAAGAAATAAATGAGCTTTTCTCGTAATCGTAGCTATGCCACTCAAGAGCACTTGGTCTTATACCACCAAGAACTGACTTAAGAAGAAGAGGAAAAAAAAAAAAAAAAAAAAAGCAAATCATTCCCCTGAGGATTTGAATATGTTGAGAGATTATCATCATTTGCCAAAAAAGAAACTAACTTCAAGTAGTGGCTGCTTCCTACTTTTAACCAGAGGCTTGCTGCACGTGGGATTCCATCAGCATCAACATGCCGCGGTCACTTCCTGAGACAGGTTCAGAGATGTGCTATATATACCCCATGTCTACAAACAGTCAAGACAGAAGGGGTGATGGTCACCTGCTGCCTGAGGGGAGAGGTAGGTTTCCCGGGCAGCCGTCTCTGCATAGACACCCTCTCCCAGCCACTTTGTCACTATACTTCTGCCTGGGGCTTCAGGGCTTCTGCTCTCCCTGCCTCCCACCTACATCAGCAAATCTCAGCTCTCCCTTGCTCATATGCTCCCGACAGCCAGCAGAAGACTCACTTCCTTTATTATTTAAAAAAAAATCAATGTTATTTATTTTTGAGAGAGAGAGATTGAGTGTGAGTGGAGGAGGGTCAGAGAGAGAGGGAGACACAGAATCGGAAGCAGGCTCCAGGCTATAAGCTGTCAGTTACAGAGCCCGACGCGGGGCTTGAACTCAAGAACTCTGAGACTGCAATTTGAGCACATTCATGAAGCCTCAAAAGGAGGCGCAGGCCCATGTTCCTAAGGAACAGCGAGCATATAGTCACAGTTTTTTCCAGAGGAATTTTCCTCCATTTCAATCCATCAAATCCATCCAAGGGACATCCTGATTTTAATATCTTTTCAGGTTTTGCAGAGAACAAAGCTGAGTCACAGGCATTGTTCTTTCTGCACACAGGCAGAAGCTCCAGTTGGATCATTCTGCTGAGATGCCAGGGCAATGTTACAGGGAAATGTCTTCGGTAGAGACGTTGCCCTGACAACCAGAAAGCTTTCCATAACCTCCCACCTGCTTTACACTGAACCTGATACCTAGTGATCAGCACAAGATAAAATTCTTTTAGTTACCACTGGCCATAACCCATAGTTAGTTCATTCCAGTTAAATACTTCAAGCGTATCACAGGGGAATCTACGTAGAAAAGTGCTTTTGGAGATTTTATATACATTTATATGTTATAGATATTATACATAATACATATAATATATACAAATTAATACATTAATATGATGGCTACAATTGTGTCACTAGTTGGTCTGGGCAAAGCTGACCTCAATCTGACAATCGTACTTTTGAAGACTTCATGAAATACAGGTGCTGCCTGTATTTTGTAGTGGGCTAATCTGACAGTTGAGTATTTTCAAATCTTTCTACTTATTATTGGGATTTTAAAAGTACATAAGCACCCTGTTAGCTCAGCTGGTAGAGTAGGAGACTCCAAAAATACATGTAGAAGAATTAGAAATGATCTACTCTGACCTTTGATTTAAAATGTGCAGTAATTCGGAAAATCACGCAATATAAAGACGCAAATATGGAGTTCTTTACCAGAATAGCTCTGTCCCAGAAAAGTAGTTTTCAGGTCACTTTTTCTAATATGAAATACAAGAAATAATCATTTTCGCATAAGGAATTTCAAATATATTCTGCTATCTGCAAGAGCAACGATGAGTACCAAGTAGTTACTGTTTACCTTCCAGCTTCCTGAAGTTAAATTCCAGCACACTGCACATAATGACCAGGCCATTACAGCCCATCCCTAATCTCGTTCCAAAGAACCAGCTCTCCCTAACCAAGCCTTGTTATGGTAGATGAAGGAAATTCTTTAAGTGTTCTTGAAAAATGTACTGGATTATTCAGTGGGTACTTTAACACGTTCTAGAAATGATCATTGAAAATTACTCTATGGGCACAAGGCACTGGATTATGAACTACTAGGAATGGCAGGAATGATCTGGTAACTGAGGGCCCGAGCCATCTCTGCCTCATCAGGAAAGTTTGGCGAAGTTTTCCTAAAATATTTACCATAACGGGAAGCACAAAATTCCCATTTAAAGATCTCACCTTTGTTCCTTCGGCTGTCATTTCACCAGCTCATTCCAATCTACCAGAGCCTCAGACAAGGGCACCGTTTGACGGCAATGTGCGGATCATCAGTTCCTCTTTGCATGGGGACACTTACATGGTAGGTTTTCTCCCCTCAACTCTGCTACCTCAGTATTGAAGCCACCGTGATTTGGGGAAGGATTTAACTGCACTGACCTCTAATTTTACTCATCTGCCGGACTACATTTGTGACATGAGTTCTTTCTGTTTAATCTATACCCTTCTAGTTGCAACCCCTAGTGACTCATCGTTTTCACTGAACATAGCAGGATTCATACTTCTCATGCCTTTCCCTACCCTATGGGTTCCTTAAAATTCTCCTAGAGATAAGAGTAAATGTCAAAGAATCTTCCATAAAACATCTCCACTTCTGTTCTCTGAGGGGACTTGACTAGGAGGCAAAATGATACCTCTTTACAACGTTGTTCTAATCATTCCTAACACCCATCAGTTCAGTCCACTCTTCAGCCAATTCGGTGAAAATAATACCTGGTGATTTATTCTTAGCCTTAGGTGGTCAAAACCCCTGGGCAAGCCCTGCTGTCCTGCGGGTGTGGCTGTAAGGGTCCCCGGCTTTGAGGGCTCGGAGCCCAGGTTGTATAACCTGAAGGAGGCTCATTCATGGAAAACCACTACAGTCATTCTGAACTGCAGGTGTCAGCTTTGTAACAAGGGCTTTCACATCTAACGAGCAGCCATGCCCTCTCTCTGTCCTTGCCCCCCTTCCTGTATTGGAATGATGCCCTCAATTTGGCCTGCTGCCCTTTCTGGGTCATCCCTCCCTCTGTGTCCATAAAAATCACATTTGATGGCTTGGTGCCTCTTGACAGGAAGCACAGGATGTGCCTTTGGAAAGCCTGGGGCCTTCGCACAGTTTGAATGATGGTTTAGCCAGATTGTTTCCTCATATCTGATTCTTGACAAACTTAAAGAATGGACACTGGGTTGTCTGAATGGCAGATTTTATAAGAGAAGAGAAGGCAGTATAGTATTGCTCTGAAAAGGAGCTGACTTTGCCAGAGTGCCCTAGAATGAGTACAGCAAGGTGTTATTATTTCTTTATAAAATTTCCTAAATGCAAAAGAGATCCAAGAAATCCTCATTAAAATGTCCGCAAGCTACCCCAACAAGGATAACATGTATACATCAAACAAGTCACAATGAAAAACCTGATGCCTCTGGAAATTACAATAAATTACAAACTGTCTTCATTGTTATGGCACCTTCCCAGTTACAATTTATATTGGTAAGTTAATGACTGGTCACCGTTAGTTATAATGTTAATAATCACTGGTCATTCATAAGGGGATGAATGAAGTGTATTTTGTTACTTAGCTACCTTAAAATACCCATCTCAGCAGCTATACTAAAAAAATGGGATTTCCTGGGGCACCTCAGTGGCTCAGTCAGTTGAGCCTCTGACTCCTGAGTTTGGCTCAGGTCATGATCTACAGTTTATGAGTTCAAGCCCCACATCAGGTGCTTCGCTGACAGTGCAGAGCCTGCTTGGGAGTCTGTCTCCCTCTCTCTCTGCCCCTCCCCTAGTCACTCTCTATCTCTGTCTCTCAAAATAAATAAACATTTAAAAAATGGGATTTCCTCCTTAACAAATTACTTTCTACCTAATAATGTCCACATGAAGTTAAAGGACATCCTTAAAAAATGACATTTTACTCAGTTCAGGGGTCTGAACATAGGCTAATGGCGAGTGATGTACGTTTCAATGCCGACTTTTAAATGAATCAGGAGCAACATTTTATTTATTTATTTTAAATGTTTTTAATTTATTTTTGAGAGGGAGAGGGGATAGGGTCAGAGAGAGAGGGAGATGCAGAATCTGAAACAGGCTCCAGGCTCTGAGCTAGCTGTCAGCACAGAGCTGAATATGGGACTCGAACCCAAGAACCGTGAGATCATGACCTGAGCCAAAGTTGGACGCTTAACTGACTGAGCCACCCAGGTGCCCCTAATTTTAATTATTTCTTTAAATGTTTGTTTATTTTTGAGAGAGAGAGAAAAAGACAGAGCATGAGCAGGGGAGGGGCAGAGAGAGAGACAAAGAATCTGAAGCAGGCTCCAGGCACTCAGCTGTCAGCACAGAGCCCAGCACGGGGCTCGAACTCACGAACCGGGAGATCATGATCTGAGCCGAAGTCAGACGCTTGGCTGACTGAGCCACCCAGGCACCCCGGGAATAATATTTTAATGAAAGGATCTAATGAAGGAGGTAATGTAAATTACTTAAGGTACTTAAAAGAACTTAATATTTCTCTGCCTCAACTTTCTTACCTATCAAATGTAAAAAAATACATACTACATGGGTTGTCATAAGGACCCAAGCACAAGGTAGGCATCCACACAAGGGTAACGGCCAGCTGAGAGCTCTCACCATCACCGCCATGGACCGGTGGGGTCACTGACATAGCACAGCTTCACTGGTGCTCGCTAACAGGGTTACCAGTAGAGGGACACCTGAGTGTCATTTGCTGCTGGAGGGGCACTGTGTAGGCCTTTTGCTGGGTAGGTGGAGAGGCTTCCTTGTCACTTCTACATGCTTGGCCTGAGGTCAGAAAGCAGGGTGGAGGTAAATTCAGCTAATATTACGATTAGGAATCGTAGCCTCTGACTCTAATTATGTGCTAATTAGTGAGAATAAAAAATAACTCAGATTTTCGGAATAAATACCCACTTGCAGGAAAATGGCAAGGACCAGAAATAAGCTGGCAGAGTGGTAATGGAAAGTGAGTATATAATGAAAAAATGGCCTAAAATCATATAATAAGAAATAAACCATGCCCAGATATGGAATGATACTTAGCAGAGCAGATATTGTCATTTCACTTCTAATATACGGATCATACACTGACTGCATCGCATCTCACAAAGAATTCTGGGACCTCAAGTCCTTAAATTCTGATCAACTGCCATCACTTTTGAAAATGCCAAGTGAGGGGCCCTCCCTGGATGGCTCAGTCGGTTGAGCGTTCGACTCTCGGTTTCGGCTCAGGTCACGATCTCACGGTTTGTGAGTTCAAGCTCCACCCTGTTAGTGCGGAACCTGCTTGGGATTCTCTCTCTTCCTCTCTCTGGCCCTCCCCCATCTTCTCTCTCTCTTTGCCTCTCTCTCAAAATAAGTGAATAAACTTAAAAAAAAATTTTTTTTGAAATGCCAAATGAGAAACCCTCAGAGATAGAAAGGTCATGATTACTCTTAGGCTCCTCTGGCACCATCACAACCTCACAAGCAGGGACCCGCGACACAGTTTGTACAACCCAGTGCAAAATGAAAATGAGGGGCCCGCTGTATAAAAGCAAGTAAGGAGTCCACCATCAATAAAAATTCATACAAGGTATTTCAAGACAGCAATAACAGCATTAAACCAAGTGCAGGCCCTTCCTACGCGCAGGGCTGTAGGAGTGTGCAGGGTCTCACCTCAGCCGTCACTATCAGACACCAATGCAGACCAGTGGTGTCGGAACTGACACAGCAGGAACCTGTTACTCACCACCGTCACTGCGTCATTCAGCAGGGACTCTCCGAAGACCAGGATGTAGAGCTGCTCGTTGACCTGAATGTTCTCGAAGACGGCGAGCACAGCCACGGGGTCCACGGCTGAGATCAAGCTGCCGAAGAGTAGATTCTGGAGCAGAGTGATGTCACTCAGGCCGAAGGCTTCGATTTGGCAGATGCCAAACAAAGACACCCCAATGCCAATGGAATTCCAGAGGGTCCCTACCACGGCATACCAGAAAATGGTGCCAATGTTCTCAAAGAATGGGCGAGTGGGCATGAAATAGCCTGCGTCGAGCACGATGGGCGGGAGGAGATACAAGAAAAATACATCGGTCTTCATGGCAGGCGGGGACTTTTCATCGACCCCAAAAATAATCCCTCCGAGCAGCAGGCCAACCATTATAAGGAGGCAGCTCTCGGGCACTATTGTGGGCAGCTTGTGATACAGGTGGAAGCCTGTGAAGGAGAAAATAAAGACAGCATTTGGGTTGTGTGTGAATCAGAGAGAAGACATACCGGTTCTCTTTACTAGAACCAAACAGATTGTATTTCAAAACCTCCCAGGTCAGCATAATTGGCTTCACAGATTGTGACGTAAAAGTCAGATGATCGCCTTAAAACTATTCACAAAGTCCACAGAGGCACAAATTCAACTTTACATCAGAAGTCGAATGAGATACACACATAATACACAGCACGGCTCTGTCTACGTTCCAATTAAGTGTTCTTAAAGGAGACCAAGCAGTTTTATATTTGAAGGATTTTTGTGATTTCCAGCACATTTTCAAATGTGACAGGTCATTTCAAAAAACTTCAAGGAGGAGGCAGAGACGTATTCCTGTATGTGGAAACCTAGGCTCAAAGAGATACACGGCCTTGCCACGGTGGCCGCGCCACATGGCAGCTTTCCGGTTACCGCCGTCCCCTCTGGTACTGAGAAGGGTTTGTCACTTACTTCATATTTTTACTGTCCAATGATCTCACTTGGAATGCTAAGTACGCTTAACTTTTCAGAGGTCGGAAATAACCAACTCACCCATAAAGGCGCATCAGGTAGTTACTATCTGAGAGGTATAAACAAACCATGATCTCCAGTCTCAGAGAGTTTCCGGTTGAGGCAAAGGAAGAGAGGTGTTTATGACCTGCTCTAATATAAGACACTGTGTGATGAGACCCCAGACAACCACTAGGGGATCAGAGAAGGACATCATGGAGGAAGCAGTATCTGGGAGGGCTTCCTTAAAGGACAAACATTAAATACACAGAGGAAACATGAAGAGTCTCCCAGGAAGTGAAGAAATGGAGGAAAGTACCCATCTCCCAATTCATGGTGGAGCCCAGTGTAGCTTTACTGCAAAGACTATGTTGGGGGGAGGCCTACAGCAGCAAAGGAGGGGAATGTGGGTTGTACCAGTGCATGGGGTAACATGAGGAACAACTTCACATGTGACAGTCACTTGACAGGGCGTAAGTAAGGGTGGCCCTTATTGACAAGGTGACAGCCAGCCATCCTGAAGACATCTCACAGGCTTTAGAATGAAAGCAGCACCTGGCAGTGATCGAAGTTATAGGAACATAATACGAAAGTGACAGAATGAGTCCTTAGAAACTTCGAATCGCAAAAACGTTAAAACGTAATCCCTTAAAAGCCTACAAACTGCACTACAGTCATAGCACGAAAGAGCTTATATGCAACAACAAAGAAGTAACCATAAAAATTTGAAGAGAGGTAAAGAACTCATTTCTAAATAACAAAGTGAACGTCTTTATATTGGGAACCAAATCATCCCTCCAGCATTGATCACTTTATCATTCGTATTCTAGCGGCCTGAGAATTGTTGGGGAGCACATGTATTCAACTGGTTCGGCCACTCTTCACCCGTGACCTCTACCCTGCTGACCTCTCTGATGAACAGAGAATTTTAAGAAAGTCCCCTGAAAACCGTATCTTTGTAACCTCTTCTCACAACGCCTGCTTCTACATTCAGCTTCCCCTGCGTGAGAAGGATGTGCCCACAACAGCACGGCGGGTCCCCTGGAGTCTAAGGCAAACCAGCTCCTTTCTGGAACGCAGGGAACGAAGACCCAACGTGAAGGCGCCGTGCGTGCTGTGAGCCTTAATGGCTGCTGTCTGACAACGGCCCCTGGCTTCACGTCCAGTGCTCACGTCCGACTCTGCCTGAGTGTGGACAGGTTACAACCAGGCCCAGGCCCAGGCCCGGTTTGCTTATCTGGTGACAAACGCACCTGCCACCCCAAGGACTGTGACAATCATGAGTGATGGGCTGCATGGCAGTCACCACTGTGCCTGTGACGTCACACATGCCCCCCAACTTTGGCTTCCTCCCCATCTTCTGCATGAAAACGCAAGAGAAAACAGTTCTAAAGAAATGCACGGAAGGACTAGGATCCCCCGCCGACAAAGTGAAGAATACGCAAGGCCTCTTCCCGGTGGCTCCCTCTTCTTCCGGCCTCTTGCTTTCCTTTTCCCGCCACCCCGTCCCAGGCACCCCGGGCTGCCACACGGATTGTCGTCCCCTCTCCCTGTGTTGAAAGGAGGTCCTCATCCTAAGAATGGAGCGTGGGAAACAAGGCAGATGAAGAAAGGACACAGAAGCTGCGTTATGCATTCTGCAGGCCAACGGCTGTCGTGCTCCAGCGCCATGATGGGTCCGGACCAGGAACCTGGAGGGCAAGAAACGACCGAGCAGACGCCAGACAAAGGCAGCCACAGAAATGCAGGATGCCGTTAGACGAAAGGGCCACGGGAGAGGAGGCTAAAGGAGATGTGGGCAATGAGAAGGGGGACATCTGGCAGCAGCAAACATCAGAAGAGAAGAGCCAAGATCAAGAACTGTTGCTCAAAAGATCCTGCCTTTAGGGGCGCCTGGGTGGCTCAGACTCAGGTCGTGATCTCTTGGTTTATGAGTTCGGTCCACGCGTGGAGCTCACTGCTGTCAGTATGGATCCTCTTTCCCTCTCTCTCTGCCCCTCCCCCTCCTGTGCTCATGCTCTTTTTCTCAAAATTAAACATTTAAAAATAAATAAGTAAAAATAAAAGATCCTGTATTTATATTTTAAAAACGCTGTTTTCCTTTCTTCCATGGATGTTTTGGTCATTCCGAATTGGTCTGAGTGACCCTTGCTTGAAACTGGACAGTAGTCCTGAATCTGCCCAGTTGTTTCACAAGCAAAGGGGGATTAAATGAAAGGTGGTCACAACACATCTCGGCTCTGTGCTTCTGGGTGAACATGAGCAGAGACACTGAATTTTCTACCACACTCTCTGCGGGCCCAGAAGTTCTAGGGTGTTGAGTGTCTGGTTTATGAATGACAAGAGTCAAGACACATATCAGCAAAATAACTAATCAAAACAAGAGTCTTTGGGGCGCCTGGGTGGCTCATTCGGTTAAGTGTCTGACTTCGGCTTAGGTCATGATCTCATGGTCTGTGAGTTTGAGCCCCGAGTCAGGCTCTGTGCTGACAGCTTGGAGTCTGGAGCCTGCTTCAGATTCTGTGTCTCCCTCTCTCTCTCTGCCCCTTCCCCTGCTCTCACTCTTTCTCTCTCTCCCTCAAAATAAATAAACATTTTTAAAAACTTTTAATTCACTAAAAAAAAAAAAAGTCTTAAATTTCATTGTTCACAGGATAAAACAAAGAAATCAACAGTTGCTAATGTGAATTCATTGTGGCTCTCCCCACCCTCAATTCTTCTTCGGATGGAAAATGAATTTGAATGGACAGAATTTGCTCTCCAGAGTCATTATCTCATCAAATGCTATGGAGAAACAGATCAGTTATCAGGAAAACAGAAAGAGAAGACAAATGAACCTTTTGATGATTTTCATGAGGCTGAACGTGCACTACTCCAAGTGCAATCTACTGCTCAGTCCAGGGGTCAGCTAACTTTTTTCTATAAAGGCCCAGACACCAAATATTTTCAGCTTGCAGGCCATATTTTATTTACTCTCCCGTTGTGGTACGAAAGAAGTCAGAGATGATACCTAAGTGCAGGAGTGTGGCTGTGTTCCAGCGAGACTTTATTTGGGTACATGGAAACTGTCCTGTCTTACTAGTCTATATGTCACGAAATATCATTCTTCTTTTGATTTTGTTTAAAAATATAACAGCCTTTCTTGACCCACAGGCCATACAAAACAAGGGCAGGGGCTATATGAGGCCCCTGGGCCGTGGTTTACCTGCTGCTGTTTTAGTTTGTTTCTTATATTTCCTGCTAAATTCTACGTAGTAGTGTATGGGGTATTGAATTTGTGTCATTTGCTTTTTATCACTAGTGCATAAGAGTCGGTGAGGATGGATGCTTTACATTTTATTTTCTTTTAATTGCTATAGAAATTCACTTAGCAAGAAGGGGAACCGGATTAGGGTCTCATACATAATGTGTAGTTAAGACGATCCTCTCTTGGAGTGAATCTATTTGCATACAAATTTCGCTTTGCATACAAGTGTTGAAATTAACCGAGCTTTTTTTTTTTTAAAGCTAAAGATCTATGTAGAGAGAAGTACAATGCAATTAATTCACTATATTTTCTCATTATGCTTCAAATAATCTATTTGTCAAATGCTGGGAAGAGAACACAGGAAGCTTCCAGATAGCAGGATCCATGAAAGAGCAACAATGTAAAAATCTCAATCACAGAGAACCACCACCACCACCAATAACAAAACAACTATACAAAATAAGTTTCAAAAATTACATACAGTTCTTTTTTTAAAAGTTTTTTTTATTCACTTTGAGAGAGAAAGTAAGTTAATTTTCGCTTGGGAGGGGCAGAGACAGAGAGAGAGATCGACAGAGAGACAGTCAGAGAGAGAATGAGAGTCCCAAGCAGGCTTCACACGGCCAGGGCAGGGCTCGAATTCACAAACTGCGAGATCACGACTTGAGCTGAAATCTAGAGTTGGACACCTAACTGAATGAGCCACCCAGGTGCCCCCGAAATTACATATAGTTTCAATTCACTAGTGACCCAGCCAGGAGGGAAAGAGGCAACTAGCAGAGATGAGCAGAGACAAAGCCCACAGGAGAGAAAGCACACCCTCCAGGCCCAGACAAACAAAACTATCCAATTAATGTTCCAGATTTTTTGAGAGTTTAAAGAAAAAATCATGACATTTATTACATTCACAAATGTTTTCCAAGCTCGTGTTAAGTAGGGGACAGGTACCCTTGGAAACAAAGTCAGCAGTAGGCAGCCTGACTCCGAACTAGCGTCCCTGGTTGGTCCTCGAAGCCACTCTGGGAAACAGTGGATTTAACGTAAAAAATAGTCTAAAATAAGCCTTGCCTACTTGGCTGGGGGCGGGGGCTGAGGGGGGAAGGTAAATATTTATAGAGTACATTAAACTTGTTTTTAAGTATTAAGAGAAACAAGCAAGTTCACTCAAAGCTAAAAATGCTGGTTTTATGTATCCCAATTCACACAGCAAGCAAA